GGCCCCCTCCGCCGCTCCCCCTTCCCCCCCAGGAGCCCATATAAGCCCAAGCTATTGTGTGGCCTCAGAGGTTTGCTATTTTAAACCCTCCGGACCGAGATACGCAAGTGCCCAAGGGGCTGACACAAGCCAGCCAGCTGTCACTCTCTAGGGCCGGGGACGCTGATAAGGCAACGCTGCCACGAGCGGAGGACCGGACCCTCCATCGCAGCCCCCGGCCCGGGCTCGCTCAGGCGCTGCACCGGGTCCAAGACGCTGTAATGAGAAGGGAAGCATCTCAGGCTGCTTTTACCCCCACAGAATACATTTGTCTTGGGTTTTTGCCTTTTTTCCTTTTGCCAGAAGAAGGGAAGCAAATCGTTCCCGGTCCCAGCCCTGGAGCAGGTGACTGGGAGCGTCTTAACAATTTTTATTAGAAAAAAAAAAAGGCGCAGAAAAAACCAAGTCCTTTCCAAAGCCCAACAAGCAAGATCAGATCCAGGGGCAGCAGTAGAGTCACACACCGAATTTGGACACCGCAATAGTTGCCCAAGGCATAGCCCTAGCCCATGGAATGGCCCCAGCACAAGGATTTGAGCATCATTTTATGGGCTGCCTATGGCACCCTAAAGCTGGCCTTGAGAGAGCACCCCGCTTCCCTGCTGGATGGGCTCAGCAGCCTGGGGAGCGCAGGACCAGGGGGCTGCGTAGCCATGGGCAAAGGGCTCAGGAGGAGAGCGAGAGGGAAATGAGGTTTGCAGAAGCGGCCCAGCACAGGGCGCTCAGCTCCATGCAACCCCCAAAATAGGACCATGGCCAGCCCAACCTTGCTGCATCACTCAGTGAAAGGGGTCCCTGCTTGTAGGGGGCAGGGGGTGGTAAGGGCAGAGTGGAGAAGGCCAAGTCTCTGTCTCTGGCTCAGCTGCGTGCTGGAGGGAAGCACCAGGGCCATCAGGTCCACCCTTCCTCCATGAGGCATCTCCAAGCTACACCAGCGCAAACACCGTTTGCCTTTGGTTGGGTCCCTCCAGCAGTGACAGCCTGGGAGGGGGGGTGACATCTGCCTGCCCCACCTCACCCCACACCCCACACAGGCAGCAGGGATGGACACGGTCCATGGACGTGCAGCTGAAACTCCCTTGGCCAGGCAGCTTCTTGCCCCAGAGACATCATCCAGCTGCAAGGGAGATGTGCAGGTTGATCCCCTTTGCAAGCGCAGTCATGGGACACAGGCAGAGATTAGGAGCAAAACACCAAAATGTTGTGGGGAAACGAGGCAAGAGTCTGCCTTCAGCATTTGCAAAGAGCCTCCAGGCCTGGGCACTCCCGAACAGAAGGCGAGGGGGACGCAGGGATAATCTTCCAGCCTTCTTCCTTCCCATCCCGCAAGCAGAGGGCCCCAGTGACCTGGGGTGCACCCACACATGGCACGGGGGACTCTCGTGGCAGTGGGCTGCTGGGCGGTTGGGTGGGGTTGGGCTTTGGTCTTCAGAACAAAACAGTTTTTCCCAGATCATCTGATATTATTACAACTGGAAAAGAAAGTGAGAAACAGTGAGGCCGGGCCTGAGGCTGCAAACGCCCCAAAGGCAGCTCCTTTAACCATGACAATACTTGTCCCGAACAGGGGATGGGGCAGGCAGGCATCCCCTAAATCCCACCACATGCCACTTCCCTTCCTCTCCCAGCCCAGACCCCTTCTCACTCTTACAGCTGCCTCAAGTTGTCCCCTCCTGCTGACTCCCCGAAGTCATGGGGTCCTGGACGTCCCACACAACCCCTCTCCCCCCATAGCCTGGTTCTCCCACGCCTGCCCTGTGGGAGATGCACCTCCAGACAGGTCCCGGCTCTGCCCCTAGCTCAGAGGATGCACCAGTTTTCAGAGCAGCTCCATGTCTACCTTGGTGTCTCCAGGGGTGTCTCCAGGCTGCTTTACCCAGACATCACGGTTTGACAGGCTGTTTATTTTCCTGATGCCCTGCAAACAGGAGAGGCGTAAGTGGCAGAAGAAGGTTTTCCCCATGCATCGTGTGCAGTGTTGCCTTCATCTGACTTTAACCAAACCTTGAAGCATACATACTCCAGGTAACACCATCCGGCTTTGAGATCCTGCACCTTGTAGACGCTCAAAACCAAGTGCAGCTCCAGCCCGCAGAGATGGATAAGCGTTATTATAGGAAAAACTGATAAAGGAGCTGCAAGCTTTACCCAAGAGTGACCTCAGGAGCAAACCCTTTCCTGGCAGACAGAGCCAGCACAGCCTCCCAGTACAGACACGTTTGGGCAGTGCTAATCTCTGCAGCTCAGCGCTGGGGGTGCCCGGGCTTGCCTGCCCGGGTGCAGGGCTGGGCTGGAGCTGCCCCTCCTGGTCCTGTACCCAGGCGGCTGCACGAGACTCTGCCACGAGCAGTGGCAAAACACCTTATTGCTGTAACAGTGATACCTCCCCAGGTCTTGCTGAACCTCTCCTTTCCAAGTACAGTAAACTACCCTGAGGCCAAAGGGTCTCCTGCCCACCTACCTTGCATGCATGTCCTTGGAGAAGCCACGGTGGCAAAGTGATGAGCTCTGAGTCCCCTTAGCTGGGCAATTTGTCCCCAGAGCTACAAGACACCCTACTTTTGGGGGCTGGGATACACACAGGGATGCAGATCACTCCAGACCCCACATGCAGCAGGACCTCTCCGTGCACACACAGGTCTCCAAGCCCCGCAGAGCCCAGTGCTGAAGGACCGAGCATACGGCTCATCTCCCAGCGGCTTCCAGGTCAGAGCTAGTCCTCCAGACACTGGTAGAGATGGGATCATGCTGGGTTGATCTCTCTCATGGTGGCAGCGTGAGATCCCCCTGTATGTCCCCTGGGACACACACCCAGCTGATGCCTGTTCCCTCCTCACCCCACCAAGGTCTGGGAGCAGCTGCCTCAGGCGCTTCGGGATCAGGATCAGGGCACAGCAACAGGTAGAGCCCGACATCTAGCCGTGGTGGCCCTGCAGCTCCCAAACCTCCAACCCTGGCTAAGCTCCTCTCAAACCCTTTAGTGGGTTCAGCCAAGGGTTCACCAACCCTTCAAGCCCCACCACCCCAGATGCGGGGACATGTCCCCCAGGCTGCCTGGTCTCAGGCCCCTAGCCCAAGGTGTTGGCACACGCTGGTACCTTGCTCTTTTCCTCCTTGGCAGGCTCCTGAGCTCTGCTGATCCACAGATTAATGCGGGATGTCACTGATCCTGGAATCTTCACGTTGTCCTGTGGCACAGAGAGGGACAGCAGGGTTACACCAGCTCTCCCACTGCACGAACGTAACCCAGGGCACGGGGAAACTGAGCAAACCTGCAACAGGCAGAGACCAGCCTACACCTTGGCTCCATCCCAGCTCTTCAAATACCAGCACATCGGCACGAACCCACACACTGCCAGAGCAGTTTCGGTGGCAGACGGTGCCTGAACCCAGCCCTGCCCGGCACCACTCAACAAGCACCAAACTCCCACCAAACTGCATCCAGGTGGCAGCCTGCCAGGCAGCGCGTTGGTATCCAAATGGGAAGATTTGTCCAAAAACCTGGTGCCTGCCCTGGCATAGGACCCCACTGGAAAGTCCTCACTCGGGCCAGCTCCTGCCCTTACCTTCCTGACCGTGAGCGGCTCAGCCTTGCTGGGAGCGCTTGCCTCAAAGAAGTTGCGCTTGCTGGCCACCCCCTCCGAGGACAGCAAGAGGCTCTTCTGAACACTCAGGGATGATTTCACCACCTCCGAGCGCTGGGAGGAGAGAGGGGCGTTAGCAGGGGCCGTGCTCCATCCCAAGCGGTAAAAAGCAAAGTCCTGCTTCTGGCTTGCGTCCTGAGCCCGTCCTTCCCAGCCCACCATCCTGGGCTTGCCCCGCTGCTCCCCCCAACAGGACCATGCAGCATCCCCATGACCCTCTCCAAGGGATATCCCCTCCCTGCTCCCAAAACCCTGAGGCCAATCCCTTCTTCTGCCTGGGAGCATCTTCTTCCACCCCATTAGCGCTGGTTGTTCAGTGCAGCTCAGTCCCTCTCCCTCCTCCCACACATCCCTCCCGTGCCAGCCCAGCTATGCCAAGGGTTTTCGGTACCTGCACGGCCGAGGTGTACTTTTCCAGCTTCTCCCCAATGGTGGTGCTGCTACCTGGGATCCTCAGACTTGCGCTGGTGAAGAAGAGGGGAGAGAGTTGAACACAGCCCCCTCAGAGTCTCCTGGGACTCAGCCCATGTTCCTGGGGGACTCCTCTTGGCAGGGGGAGGCACAGGCACTTCTCCTGTGTCCATCTGCCAAGTGAACCAAGGCAGCTCATTCCTTGCTGGTGACCGAGATCTCTGGGTCTCACCATCTTACTAGGGCAACACTGTACATTGAAGAATAGCTCTGAGCTCCTCAGTTTACCCTGTCTTCACCACTGCCAGGTCTGAACTACATCTTCACCAGTACCAGTATGGGTTTGCCTATAGTATGCACAGGTACAAGCCCAGGTGCCTGTAAAGCCCCACTGCCCTGCCCTGCCCTCAGAGGTGGGAGAGGGCGTCCTGTTGACTCCCTGCATTCAGACCTGAGCCCTCGGTTCCTCAAGAAGTTTTAAGCCACCTGTCCAGACCTTGCCATGGAGATGTGGAGGATCACTTGATCTGACCACCAAAGCCAGACCAGGTTGCTCATGGACCTTTGATGTCTCCAAGGATGGGACCCTGTTGTGGTGCTGCACTGCTCAACACTTAACCACTCCTGTGCAGACACAAGCACTGATGAGAAACTACATCAACAAAGAGACAGCAGGGGTTAGCTGGGGGGATCTTGTACAGATGTAAGCTGTACGTTGGACATTGTCCTGTCCTCTGCTAAGCATCGCTGCCCAATCAGCCAGGCACCCCAGGGACCAATGTTCAGCAGACCTGTGCCAGGGCACTCACTAGCTGGTCCCATCACCTCCTCCTCCTCCCTTGGAAAACAAAGGATGACAATTCCTGCCCAGCAAGATCAAAGTAACATGAAGAGAGGTGCTGACCTCCTTGTGAGAGGGCTTTGGCTTTCTTCTTTCTGTTTTCTTGAGATCATCTGGAAGACACAAGGAGAAGAGATACTGGAGCCATCTTTGGTTATCGAAGATAAACATGGGAGAAACTGTCTCAGACTCGTCTCCCCCATTGTCAAGCAAGCTCCATTTTCACCCACACCAGAGCTTATCTCATATCTCAAAGCTCTCCAGACTAAAGACACTTTGCAGTGCTAACAGTTTTATTCCCAATAAAGCACCATGAAAGTCAATTAAGCCTAGCCAGTCAGTCCTGAATCACAGCATGGAGGATCTCAACAGCTCTTGGTTTTCCCAGCCTCTCCAAGCACTTTATTCCAGCCTCTTTTTGGGGAGGTTAGAGTTGAAGATATTCTCAGGATGTAACAAGGGACAAGAAGGAGGATGGATGTTATTCTTATCTTGTGCTCTCAGAGAAGAGTAGAAATGCTGGAGGGTGGATGGTCATTCCTGCGACTCTTTGGGAAATCTGAGGACAATGAGCTCCTTGTTTTCTCGTCACTTCCCACAAGTTTCCATGCCAGCCCAAAGCTTATGAACATGGGCATGTTCATCATCACAGGCCTTTGGTCAGACATGGAGAAGGAAAATGGAGGAAAGACTGAAGCAGAACTGCAATGCCCAGATCAAGGGTAGATTTTGAATACGCTTTTGGGAACAGGCTCTGCCAACATAGCCTGGAGACCAAAGCAACCCTTCCCTGTCACCATCCTCCACTGCCTAAATGGGGGTCTTTCTCACACTTGCTTTGGCTCTTACCCGAAAGGAGACAGTTCTTGGGCTGGTTCGTCTGATGGAGCTGCTGTAGGTGACATGAGTTGGAGAAGTATCTGACTTTTCTGCAGGTTCCTCTTGGGTGGGAGACAGCTGTATTACCTCCTTTGAGGGATTCCTGGATGGTTGCTGAGAAAAAAGCAGACATCTGATGTATCCCTGCAGAGTCTGCAGAGAAGGTTGAGGTGCAGGGAGCAGAGCAGCTAGGGTGGGAACCGGTTTGGAGGCAGGAGTTTGAGATCAAAATCCTCCAAACCTTGGCTGTCTCACTTGGATATGCAAAGCCCCAAACACCTCTTCAGTGAAACTGTGATGGCAACCAGCAGAGGCTTGCCGGAGAGGGTGATCAGAATAATACATGCAAGGGAGGGAAAGGAGGTGGTGGGACCCTGTCCACCACCTCGTGGTTTGCAGGTCTCAGAAAAACCTTCCCCAAAAGCCCACGGGTCCCAACTCCCTCCTGGTACTTTTGGGCTCTCCCTCTCTCTGTTGTCCTCCCAGCACCCAGGACTTCACCCCCCCCAAGGGTCGGTGCCTTGTCCCTTCCTGCTTACCTGCTGGTCTGGAGATGAGGTCACCACCGAGGCTGTCTTCTCCGAGCTGTGGCTTCCCTGCCTGGTCAGGATCTTCACTTCACGGAGTCGGCAGCCCCCCAGCTCTGGCGATGCCCGCTGCTGTGGCTCCCCCACCTCCTTCCTTTGCTCCCCCCGAGGCGTCCCCACACCTTGTCCCCCTTTGTCCTGGAGACGTGCCCTCACCACCACCTTCCTCTCGGAGGCCGGCTCTGGGTGCTGCTCTCCTGGTGGGTGCCCTCTGCCCTTGGCCGCATCCTGACCCCGCTCTCCAGCCTGGATGCTCTCCTGCCCTGCGCGCGGCTGCATCCCTGCCTCCACGCGGCTCGCTCCCACCCCTGGCTCCTGCTGCTCCTTCTCCTGCTTCAGCCTTTCGGAAACGGCCATCAGGGACCTCGTCCGTCTCCCTTCTTGCGTCTTCAGCACCTCCGAGAGCTTACGCTCTTAGGAGACACTGGCTTCACCAGAGATTGAGGTCTAGAGACAGAGACAAAAAAGGGGGCCAACCTCAGCACCCCAGGGCCAGAGGGCTGGCTTTTATGTTGCAGGTGAGGTTAACCCAGGTGAAAGGCTCTGTGGGGGTGTAAAAATCCCACCAACATCTCTGGAGTCATCCCTGCAGACCAGGACTTGCAGCCACACTCATCCCCATTACCCCAGCTAGGCTCTCTGAGGATCTAGAGACAGAGACAAAAAAGGGGGCCAACCTCAGCACCCCAGGGCCAGAGGGCTGGCTTTTATGTTGCAGGTGAGGTTAACCCAGGTGAAAGGCTCTGTGGGGGTGTAAAAATCCCACCAACATCTCTGGAGTCATCCCTGCAGACCAGGACTTGCAGCCACACTCATCCCCATTACCCCAGCTAGGCTCTCTGAGGACAAGTTTGGATTAAAAGTTTTTTTTTCCTTCTTGTGGCAGAGATTAAGCATTTCTGCAGCCTCCTTCCAGGACATCAGCATCCACCAAGTCCTGTGGCAGGGAGCTGTGGGCTCAGAGCAGTCTGCTGGGTCTGCTGCTGGATGAGATGTGTGTCTGTGGCTCTTCGGTGGATCCGGAAAAAATACTCAAAGCGTTGGTTGTAAGACAATCTGCTATGGCAGGGTTCAACCACAGTCCCAACACCTTCTGCAAAACAGGCGTTTTCCCCTCCTTCCCACAGGCAAACATAGGCACCAGATTTGGGAAGAGGCAGATAGGACATTTGTCCAGGGCCACACAGACTGTATCTACACAACTTCCAGGGCTTGGGAAGGGTATGGGATAATACTTGCCCTCCTCCTGAATTGCAATCACCATGTGGCCGGCCGGGGCTAGCACCAGGGAAGGGTGATATCTCCTATCTAGCTTGTTCATGTTAGTCATGTCCAACCCCTTTTCAACCCATATGCAACCCAGGCATCCTAACTCCATCACGTCTGCAGAGAGAAACACCTATAGAGCATGAGTCTCACTGTGCACATAAGCCATCTAAATATCGGACGTTTCCAGGATCAATTTAGAGAGAGGGTCAGGTTGTGTAAGGGCAGTCTGGTTTCAGGGCACCTCCAAATCCCAGCTCCCTGCAGCAAGGGACTTTGGGAGCACCACTGGAAAGCCCTTGGGTCACCTCCCCACTTCAGCACAGGTCATACAACATCACTGCAAGGTTCGTAGGAGCAGGAGGACAGCCAGCCAGGTGCTGCATGTTCAGCCCACCTTCCCTGCAGAGATGGGTGCCTGTCTACTCTTACCTGCTCAAGATGCCACTAAGGCATGGCCAGCACCCACCTCAGCTCAACCTTGGCACCAACCCTCACCCTGCCACACCATCTCCCTGTGCCGTGGGATGTGTTGAGGCCCATGATTGAACACACCAGAGATATGCCCCTCTTCTTCCACTCCTCCTGTGAAGCCCATCCTTCTACCCAAGGGCCCGTTGGAGCCCTGCTCTTCCCACAGCTCAGCCCACTCTCATCCAGAAGAGACTCCCACCAACTGCAGCAGCTTTGGCTCAGGGTTAAGAAAAACAAGGCAGCAAGCCATCACCATCATGAATAAGACTGATGTTAGCAGGACCTCACGCACCTGCTGGAAGCTGGACTGGTGTTTTTCGCAGGGCTAGGAGGTTCTTCATCCGTCGATGTGGAGGACAGCAGGCTCCGGTGCCTTCGCCGGCGCTCTCTTTGCTGCTCTTCTTCATCCTCAAGGGTCCTCTGCCTGGCCAGGCTGTTTGGGATGAAACATAACATGATGGTGAGGCTGTGCCCTGCACGGGGAGCTTGTAGCCCTGATGACAGACAAGAAAGGAGACCAAAATGCCCTCAAGCAAGGGATGAGGGGCTGACAGAGGTTGCCTTCCCCAGCTGCTGCATGGGGCTGGAGGAGAGGGATGCCAACAGGAGCCAGGTGTCGCAAAGCGCTCTCGCTCCACCCAGCTGATGCAGGCATTTCCCAACACAAGCACTTGATTTTACAACTCCTAATTTCTTCTGTTGGAGGGAGCACTTAGTTGAAAGGAATCCCTACATTAAGCAAACCTTCCCAGGCAAGGATATTTAACCTGTAACTCAGCAAACCCAAGACCCTAGAGTCACCACATAGATCTCAACCACATAAACTGGAAGGGTAACCACTAGTGGCAGAAGATTTTAGCCCCAGCGTGAGTTGTGGCAATGGCATTTTAATTCTTACTGAGCAAAAAGCCTCAGATGCAAAAGCATGAGAGGCTGCAGGTACTGCTGACAAGCTCTGCCTGGAAACAGGGACAGCAGGAGCTCCTCCTACTCCCTGCATGTGGCTGGGCCTGGCAATTGTTTGTAATCACAGATTGTACCAAAAAGACAAGGTTTGTAATCATCTTTAAAGAGTCATCTTCAAAGATTTTATATTGCACAAGCCAAGTAAATATTTTTTTGGATAAAATGCCAACCTGAATAAAAAGTCATTTGGACAACACCAGCTTTCCCTTCTTCTCTCTGCAAACCCTGCCCACCCTCTCTGCCAGTGCATGAACTGTGTTGGAAAATATTTTTACTGGCTGGATTGAGCTTTTCACAACAGCAGTGTTCATCTGCCTACAGCACTAGTCCTCAATCAGCTGCAAACACATGCAGGGGTCCCAGCAGAGCTCCCCGCACCCCCAACAGCCCTCCCTGCACAGGATCCGTCCCATCGCAGTGTCCCAGCTCGGGAGCTGGCACTCCAGTTTCATCCAGACTCAGGGTTTACTTTGAATTTGACTTCTTAGAACGTGAAAGTCAGAGCAGGTCCGGGCCTGCGGTATCGCTAACGTTGTTGCGGACACGGTGACTCGCAGCGTGGTTTACGAGTTACTGTGTAATGAAAGCCGGGTCATAAATTAAACCACATTACCCCCCGCAAATATTCGCGGCTTCTGTTCTTCCTGGTCAAGGGAGGCAGGGGAGAGCGAAAGGGTCAGCGGAGCAGAACGGAGAGCAAAGGGGGGACAGGTCCCGGCTGAGGGCTCAGCACCTCTTTGGGCACAGGGCAACGTGCGCTGCCCCTTCCTCCCGCTGCCTCCATCCCCACCACCCCCTGCTCCCCCCAGCAGCCTTCGCACCTCAACAGCAATCCGCCCCGCTGCTGGGGGGCTCCGGGGTGGTCCCCGATGCCATGCTTGGCATCGGCAGAGACGGGGATGGAGAAGGCTGGGACCTGCCCCAAGGAGCCGTGAGCATCCCCAGCCGGCTCTCAGCCCACAGGGGACACCTCCCCCTGCGGCTCCTTGCGGCTGAACTCGCCTCCATGGGCCTGACCCTGTAAATATTTGTACACAGCTTAGCTGCACTGGGAAGGCAGCACGGCTCTATTTGCACAGCACGGTGTGATCTCCTGGCGAGACGTGCCGCAGCAATCACTGCACACACACATTCCTACCCGGCAAGGTTAGCACGTGCGTGGGGACGCACACACGCAGGTGCCTCTGCTGAGCGCTCTTGTCCCTCAAGCAGTGACAGCATGGAGTGCTAACGCCAGTTTAAAGCCGCGTGAGAGCCAGTTACTTCTTTGTTTTTGCATGCACAGGCTCCTTCGAAATGAAAATGAGATTTTCCTGCCTTGAATTTGCTTGGCTCCTGCAGAGGCAGCATGTAACCTGGCATTATAAACATGCAGTTTCTCATTATTTGTAATTAAGTAATCCACCCGTTAGGCTATGGATATGCTTTGCCAATCTTCCCCTTTTCTTTTCAAAGAGGGGTTTATTTTTCACCATCTTACCTTTTATAACCTCAAAGAGATGAATAAAAAAGACTGCCTTGTCCTCTCCTGCCCTGTTAATCATTAGTGCTGAGATGTCCGACATTTATGCTGTTTCAGTGAATGCTGTCTCATCTAATGGGAGAGGGGAAACTTCCTTGGTTGTGAAACAACCTGGGTGCAGGACCCCGCTGGGCTTGCATTCGGGCAGGTCCATGGCGCAGAGGAGGTGGATCTGGATGGGGCTGGGGTGCCCTCTGGATCCGTCCCAGCCGTGGTGGAGGCAGGGTGTGAGCTGGCAGCCTCCGAGCAATGGGGTATCTCTTCATTCCCATTTCTGGGCTGGCCGTGGTGGGTGTCTTACCTAAAGTACTGGGGCTTGCAATTAAGTCTCGGAGCCGTCACATCCACTCAAACTAGGATTTCTGCTGCGTTTTGTGGGAGAGCGGGGCTGCGTTTGAGTCACTCTCCCCCCGCCTGTGCAGCCGAGGTCGGCGGTGCTTGCCCCGGGGTCTGCAGGAGGTCAGGAGCGATCCCCACATCACCCAGGCTCCGTGTGAGCCCTGATGCCCAGGACCCTCACCTGCCCTGGCTCCCATCGGAGACAAAAATCACTTTTTAGGGGAGACCGAGCGGAGCGGCCAATGCCGCGGGGCTGTGGGGATTATTCAGCGACTGCCGATGAATCAGGGCTTGCTCAGCGCCGGATGGGCAGAGGCTGCAACCTCCGCCGGGACACGCACCCAAGGGCTGTACGGATACGGGCGAGTGAAAAAACCCCACAGCCGGCTCTGGAGCAAGTCTGGAGGCACAGCCCAGCCAGCCAGACCCTATCCCAAAGAAAGGCAAACCAGACCAAAAATATATCCAACGCGGGGCAAGGATGCATTTCCAGAGCCGTTTTCCTATGCAGGGCTCAGCTTCCCCAGGCAGCAGAAACAAATCCGCCTCTGATCTTGCCCACCCACCAGAAACTCCAGCGGTGCCAAGCACTCGCCGGGGCTGGCACCACCTCTGCAAGCAACATCCCCCACGGCGGCTGTCCCCCCTTCCCATCCTCCCCAACACCCCTTGGCCGAGGGGGTGCCAGCAGCCCACCCTCACCCCTCCCTCTCGCCGGTGGAAAGGGTTAAGCATTAAACCACAGCACCTACCTGGAAAGATCGGACCAGTTCCTTCTGCTAAAAGACATTCCTG